AAAACTAAGAGTAAAGAACCAGCTTCGAATTGGTTGAACTGTCTAGAGATAGCTCTATAACCTGTAAGGGACCCCTTCCCTCAGGACTGCTGGGGACCCGGCAGGCACTCAGCAGATTGTAAGGACCTCTTCCCTCAGGACTGCTGGGGACCAGGCAGGCACCAGCAGACTGTAAGGGTCCCTTCCCTCAGGACTGCTGGGGACCCAGTGATGGCATCTACTAATGTACATGTAGAATGGACTGTGCTGGGGTCTGTATGTTGGCACCTCTGATCCCCTGTTCTAGTAGGCAAAGCAGGAGACAGGCCACCCTGTAATCAGTGCCTGTAGGTCTCTCTTGAATGAAAGAGTACCCTTTGGGGATAGGCAGCAGGGCTAATTGACCCCCAGGACTCTGTCTGCCCAAGTCTCCTGTCCTGTGCTCCCTGCTGTACCCTCTCCCCAGCTTGTCCCTCTAGGACCCCTCCCTTGGCTCATTCTGATTACTGGTATCTCTGCCCACAGCATCATCAGCTGGTTCGTGCGGTCCTTCAAGTACGTGTATGGCCTTCGCTTTGAGGTCAGAGGCCAGAAGAAACTGGAGGTGGATGGTCCCTGTGTCATCATTTCTAATCACCAGAGTATCCTCGACATGATGGGTAGGCTGTCATCAAGGCTTGGCCACAGAGATGGTGGCCTTTTTCATCACAGGTCCCGGGGTGGGCTGGGTGGTCCTCTTGCTGGAGCTGATTTGCAGAAGAAGACCTATGCATCTCTCTAACCACAGGCTTCACTCAAGCTGGGCTGTAGAAGCAGCAGGCTGTGCCAGACATGGGGCACAGGACTGCATTAGAGACAGGGGCTTGACAGGTGGGCCCCCAGCCCCTCCTTCCCAGGGAGTACCAAACTGGGCTCTGAAACTGTTCTCTTGTTTCCCGTACCCTGCCCCCTTTGTCTGTGTCTCTCTTCTTATCTTTTTTTTTTTCCCCATTCTCGGCCTCTGTATCCCCTTCTCTCTCTCTTGTGTCTTATTTCCCCTTTTCTCCATCTCTTTCTCTGTCTCTCAATCTCCATTTCTGCCTCTCCACTGCTGACTTATTTTCTCTCCTCTCTGGGTCTTTCTCCATCCCTGGGTCTTTCTTTCTCTCTCTCTCTTTCTCTCTCTCTCTCTCTCTCTCTCTCTCTCTCTCTCTTTCTCCCTCTCTCTCTCTCTCTCTTTCTCCCTCTCTCTCTCCCTCTCCTTTCTGCTTCCTTGGTCTCCCCTGCCTGCTTCCGTCTCTCACTATGTTTCTCTCTCTCTCCTACGTTTCCCATCCTCTCTCACTGTTCCCACGTCTCTGTCTCCATGCGTTGTCTCTCTTCCGTTTCTGTCTCTCGCTGTTTCTCTCTCCCCCTTCCTTCCATGCAGGCCTCATGGAGATACTCCCTAAGCGCTGTGTACAGATCGCCAAGCGTGAGCTGCTGTTCACAGGACCCGTGGGCCTCATCATGTACCTCGGGGGCGTCTACTTCATCAACCGCCAGCGCGCCAGAACCGCCATGAGCCTGATGGCCGACCTGGGTGACCTCATGGTCAAGGACAATGTGAGTATAGGCACAGCACGGCAAGGTGGGCTTCGGGGGAGGGCAGCCCAGCTCTCTGGGGTGGCTAAGCAGGGTGAGGGGCAGCCTAAGCAGCTTTCTCCTTTCTGCTGGCAGCTCAAAGTGTGGATCTACCCAGAGGGTACACGCAACGACAATGGGGACCTGCTGTCCTTTAAAAAGGGTGCCTTCTATTTGGCCATCCAGGCCCAGGTAGGCCAAGCCGTGCCCTTCTGGGGTAGGGGGTCGGGATATGGGTCAGGATGGTTTAAGGTTAAAGATGATATCCCAGACAGACTGGGGACTGCTGGCCTTCAGGGATCTCCTCCACCATGTTGGGAAAGGGCCTCTCCACCAGCTCAGCCCCTAGCACCTGAGCAGGTTGGTGACCCTTGACAGCTCCGAGAGTTTGAACAGCAGCCTCCCCACACCCTAGCTGGCCAGGTGGGGGGTCTTCTTCATTTGGGATTTCATGAAAAGTAGGGGTGGGGCCAGTGAGTAGGCAGTTTGCTCAGCATAATAAGGCAGACTGTGCCTAGAAATTCCCCTGATGCCCCAGGCCCTGGCTTGATCACGATGAGGCTTGAGGGGCAGGCACAGGCTAGTGGCGAACCCAGTCCTGAGCAGCACAAGTGAGCTCTGTCCTGGACCCTGGACTTCCCTTGCCCCTCAGCCTGGGGTGGGAGAAGACAGTGGGTATCAGGAGTGTCGCTGAGCTGAGCGCCTGCCAAGGATCAGCGGGTCCTTGCTGTGGGAAAGCCACCACTGGGGAACAGAGACAGGGATCTTTATCCTGCTTTATCGTTTGCTGCCCGGCAAACCTCAGCCCCCTCTGCCCCTGTAGCAGGCAGCCTCCTGGGCCCCTAGGCCCAACCCCATACAAGATGGCATGTACCCTTTCCCTGAAGTCCCCAAGGGGTTGGGAAGCCCAGGCTGGAGCCGGAGACTGCACTGTGACCTCTGATCTTGGGAAAAGAGAGAGAGACTGGGGGCTATGGTAGGGGCAGGAGAATCCAGAGATATCGTGTCCTGCCCCTCCCCCAGGGCCTGTCTAGGGTGCAGCCTACCTACCTTCCTGCTCTGGCACCCAGGGTTAATGATTACCCCAGTGCCATCTGTCATCATTGGAGCTGACCCTTGGGCCTTCCAGAAATACCAACAGGCTCCAACCCCCTTCCCTAGTTTCCTGGGAATGAGAGACAGAGTGGGAGGGGAGGGGAGGATCAACATCACGCACCTCCGCAGTGCTAAATGGAATCCCACCCTTCCACTTCTAGGATCTTTTATGTCCCAGCGTAGAGGGGGGGGTGAGGGGGACTGATAACCTTAGCCCCGAGAGCTTCCGACACAGGGGGAGTCTGTGAAACACCAGGCCACCTGGATGGAGGGGGCAGCCACAAGGACGCCTAGCCGCAGCCGAGTGATGTCCCTCAGCGCGTGTCCCTCTCCACAGGTGCCCATCATCCCTGTCGTGTACTCCTCCTTTTCTTCCTTCTACAACGTCAAGACGAAACTCTTCACCTCAGGTGAGCCCGCCAGAGCCGCACAGGGGCTCACCAGGCTGTCGTGGTCTCTCTTTTTATTTATTTTGAGACGGGTTCATGTGCCCCCGGTTGGCCTGCAACTCCTGATGTGGCAGAGGATGACTAATTTAGCAGAGTCCTGGACCCCTAGTAGTGGAGTTCCCACGTCTGGGTGGTGAATGAATGAATGAATGAATGAATGAATGAATATCGGCCCAGCATTGCATCATCGCATTGCTCTAAGTGGGTTTTTCAATTTTTGCGACTGAAAAACAGGTTCCAAGCCTAATTGAGTTCCTGAGATAACTGTGGGTCCAGGCTGTGCAACACAAATAGGGACCTGTAGTGACCTCTGCTGGTGAGGGATGGGAATTGTAAGCCGTCTGGGCTCCCCTACACTCACATACACAGCCTCTGGCTCTTCCTTTAGGTCACTGGCTTCTCTGACTGTACCCTGACCCTGCATGTGGGTTATATGACCCTGCCTTGGGAGTCAGAGCGGGGTCAGAGGTCTCCAGCCTCTGAGCCCCTGCTGCTCAGCACCATGGAAGACTGGAGGAGCAAGTGTGACAAGGGACACTCAGGGGTTACTGAGTGCCCTTTCAGGGGCAGAGATGTCCTGAGTCACTGGCAGTGGCTACAGGGCAGGGTGGAGTTCCTGAAACATTTCCATGTTGCCTTGATTACAAGCATATGTGCCCTGCCCAGGAGCTGAGGATGCTGAGAAGAGAGGGTGGGCAGTAGGAGGCCAGGCGACGAGGGTGGGTGGCAGGAAGTGGGGTCTCTATGTCCCTGACATCCGCTGCTTCCTCCCCAGGAACAATCAGGGTACAAGTGTTGGATGCTGTTCCTACCAGTGGCCTTACAGAAGCCGATGTCACCACGCTTGTGGACACTTGCTACCAGTCCATGAGGGACACCTTTCTACAAATTTCCCAGATGCCACAGAACTCTGCCATTAAGGAGGCTGGGGTTGTGCCAGCCCAGTAGCCCAGGCCACAGGGGCAGGAGAGCTGGGGGAAGGCAGGTGGGAAGCAGAGGCTTGGAGGATGGACAGAAGACCCTTTCCTCCCACCTACCAAACATCTTGTCATGCTCTCCTGCTGGCCTGGCTCTAGTTGGGGCCTGGAAACAGGAAGCCCTTTCTGTCACAGGCCTTAGACCCAGGACCCTATGTAACTTCCCACTTCATGCCTGTGTCTCCTGAATGTGGCCATTCGGCAGGTGGGCTGACCCGCAAGACCACACGGTAGCCAGCAGTGGGCAACACGGAGCAGGATCAACACTCAGGAACTGGGTCATGGCCTGCATCAGGCCATCAGGAAGAGGAGGAACTTGGTCTCCCAGTCTCAAGGAAACCTGGGTCCCACAGCACCAGAGGGCAGAGCCTGCCGTCCTCACTGTCCAGTCTCAGTCAGTCACACGTCACTGCTGTACTCAGTTCTTTCTTTTTTTTTTTTTTTTTTTTGTATAAATGAACTCTGAGAAGTGCCTTGAGACCAGGGGTCTCTTTCAGAGGATGGGCAAGTGCCCCCCACCCGACCTCCATCCAGGGATACAGAATAAGGGGGTTATATAACCACCCACAAGTCCTTCTCTGGGGCCGCAGTGTGTAAGGTCCCTGCTCCCCACAAATGGCCTGCAAGAGATGAGTTGTGATCAGCCACTGGTGCTTTTCTCAGGGGAGGTGTGGGGTTCATAGAACTGAAGGGTGGGCAGGCCGTGGGCCTGGTGGCATGACCTGCCTTTTAGCCTCGGGCTGTGTGTGGAACCAGCAAGTCACCAAGGGAAAACTGGAGCCCCAGTACCTTCCTGCTGAAGCTCCTTTTCACAGACAGGCAGTTCGCTTTACCTGAAGCCTCCAGGGCAGGAGGAGTACAGGGCACGCCCAGTCCCAATTCACCCACCAACAGCAGCTTAAGTCCCAGCTTTATTATGACAAAGATGGGGACAATCCTGACCTCACCTCTGGACAGGGTGCTCTCGTACCTTTTCTGGAAAGACCCCACTCCCCATGCACCTGTCCTAGGAACCTCCTGAGAAAGAGGGCCTTTTGCTCGCAGGCACCACCAAATAGCACCTGAAGTCTGGCTGGAAGGGGACATAGAGGCGGCAGCTCAGTCCAGCCTGGGAGGTGAGATACCATCACAGATCTTTTTTGCAAGAACCTAGAGCAGGAAAGGAAGGAGGGTGCAAACTTGCAAATCTGCCCACCCCCAGCGGTAGTTCCATCCACCCCATGGGTTCCCTGGGATCTCTGGGCGGGGAGGTGTGGCACTCACAGGACCCCAGCTGCTCCTCCAAGAAGGAGACCTGCTCACTCAGTGAATCAATGCGGTCCAGCTGCTGGAAGGAGTGGGTCAGCAGGCTGCCAGGGTCTTGCAGCCCATGCTCTGTGGCCCGAGAGGCCAGGCTGTGCAGTGGGGCCAGCACCAACTGCAGTTTCTGTAAAGGAAGTTGCAAAAAGCCAGGTGACCCCTCTTAACCTCTATTCCATGAGAATGTAAGCTGCTACTGAGCTGTAGCAGCAGGGGCCCTGTAATAGAGGGAGCCCAAAGGCTAAGCAGACACAGGTGTACAACATACCCACAACCTAGCTAAAAGGTCCTGGGACCCCAGAGATAAGCTTGGAGGGTCATGGGGCCTGTGGCTTGATGAGACTTGCAAGACAGCAAGTATAACCGGCTAAGTGGGCTCTGAACCTCAGTTCCTTCCAGGCTGGCGAATCCCACACAGTGCTGCCTAGCGTGGTAAGAAAGCCAGAACCCCTACAGCCCTTCCCCCGTAGAACCTCCAACCACCCCATGGTTTGGAACCACAGCCCCAGAGACTATGGGGTCTGGACAACAGCGAGAGCCACTCCCAACAAAGCCTCACCTGCTCCAGGACATCAACCCGGGACCGCAGCCTGTGCACCTCCTCCCTCACCATGCTGTCCACTCCTGGGGGGCAGATCCGGGTGCTGGTCAGGGGAGTTTCCTGCCCCTGCCCCCAATGAGCTCTTTAGCTTTAGGAAGACCTATGTCTGGTGCCATGGCTGTGGGAGCAGAGCCTGGGGATGCGAGGTCTCTGGGCACTGAGGTCTTGGGTCTCACATGCCAATGGTGGTCCTTACCCAGGTCCGCCGCGCTCCTGGTGCTGGGCTGCTGACAACGCATTATTACTCACGGTACGAGTTTGAAGTGTCACAGCGCGTACCAAAAGTAATAATGTGCCGTCACCAGCAAAGACGGGGTCTCCAGGTTCTCTTTCATGCAACTGGCCGAGAGGAGGCTCCAGGTGTGCCTTATCTCCCCCACAGTACCTTCCAGAAACCTCTTCGGAGGGAAGTGGCCCCTTCCACCCAGACAAGGAACCTCCCTCCTGCCTCACAGCATAGTGCTGACCTCCATGCAGGGCTAGCTGCCCTCTGTGTCCCCCACGCTCAGCTCAACCACAGAACGGCGCTCAAAACCTAATAACCACCCGAGTCTGTCGCAGCAGGGTGGAAAAGCAAGATTACCTGTTGTGGGGTTTGGAGCCACCAGAGAGGGCCCCTTCTTGGGCAGGCAATGCATTCCATCTGCAGATGGGCTTTGCCCCTCCCAGCACTGGCACCAGTAACTGCCCACGGTATTGACACAACGCTGGGGACAACTGGCCTCTCCGGTACTGCATTCATCCACATCTGTGGGAAATGAAGGTGTCGATCTAGTGTCTACAGAAGGCAAGGGCCTGGCCACAGACCCCTGTTAAGACCCACCTATCAGCGGAAACCCACACCAGACAGCAGTAACCTAGGATCCACAAGGCACTAAGAAGACCTCTCCTTCAAGACGAGTGGGGCTTACCTATCTGGCAAGTATCTCCCTGCCATCCCACAGGGCAGCGGCAGTGGCCTGGGCGGATGCAACTCCCTCCATTCCCACATGGAGGCTGGCATATGGCTGTGGGTAGAAGAGGCCAGTCTGTCACCAGCTCTGGAGGGTCTCCAGAGCCTATGGCAGCAAGGGAAGGGTTGCCCTACAGCAAGAATGCACTGCTTGTGGGGGCAGAAGGCAGCAGGGCTTCTGCTGGGCAGTTGGAAGCGGGGTCTCACACATCAGACACTGCACACTGCCCTCACCTGCTCCACAAGCCCCAGGGAGCCCACTGGTCCTCTTCCAACCGGGGCAGCAGGCATAGCGAGGCCTGGCGGGAGTCGGCCCAGGGCTGCGGCGGCGATAGGCAGTCCGGTAGACGGTTCTGTGGTGAACAGATGTGGTTCAGAGGGGCCCAACATGGGTGGTCCAGGCCAGGCCTTCTTTAGGTACAATGAACCCTGTCCCCCTCATCTTTGGGGGATATCTAGCCAGCATCACTCCCAGGGTCTCAGAGGTTCCCTTTCCAAGGCCCAGCTCGCTTGGCACAGACAGGGTCAGCATACACCTGTGTGTGCCACTCGATCCACCGAGCTTCTGATGACAGACATACAGGCCCAGGAAGTAGCACAGGGCTGGCCCCTGCAGTAGCCACTTCAGAGCTGGCTAGAACCTGGCTTGCTTTGCTTCCTGGGCTCTGGGCCCCTGGTGCTAAAGTTGCTCTCTGACTCCAGCACTCCCGTAATTTTGGAGGTCCAGAAGTCTCTGAAATCTCGCCATCTTGAGCCAGAGGCGGAGCTCATGCACCTAGGCCTTCCTTGGGTGTTCCTCCTCAGGGAGGAGGCTGAGTTGCCCACATCAGAACAAGGACCTGCCCTCTTGGCTGTGTCCTGTGCTGCTCAGGTTGTTCTGTTAGCCTGATGGGACAGCGGATTGCCCACATGGACAGTGACCCTGTGAATAAGGACTTCTAGCTAGCAATGCTGGGAAGGAAAGCGTAAACTCTGAAAGTAGAGTACAGATGTGATGAGAAGCCCCTATACATGTGGGGGATGCCCTTTGAGGCGGCATCCTCTCAGAGGACAATGCTGGGCATCCTTGGGTACCAGCCTCCAAAGCTGAGAGGCCACCTTGATCGCTGATGTCAAGAATGCCTCACTGCTTTGGCCTCAGCTCCCCGGCTCAGGGTGAGGCAGGCTCTTGGGCTCCAAGGACTGATTGCTCCTGTGTGGCGATAGGGGGATGGGCAATGGGCACTCACCGGTAAGTGCTGCAAGCTCGGTGCCCATCACAAGTGGTGAGGAAAGGCTGATAGACACGTTGCACAAAGGACTCCAAGACAGGCAAGACAGGGCCTCCGGGAACTCCCACGGCACACACTCTGCGGCTATAGGGGATGGGGTCAGGAGGGGGACCAGAGCTAGGACGCTCCAAGCCCAGGTACATGGAAACATGAGGCATGGGGGCTTCCCAATGTTGCTGTGACCAGGATCTTCAGCTGGAGCCCACAGGGAGTTATCTCCAAGGATTGGGGCCCACCTTGGGCAGGGTTGAGGGGCTCTGGACATGACCCCAGCACCCCAAGACCCAAGCCCTTGCTCACCTGGGCCTGTAGACATGCTCAGTACCACCTGCTGCCAACACTAGACACCATGCCACAAGCAGCTGTTGGGAGCCCCACATGGTCTGCGTCTCTAAGCGGAGTAGCCTTCTTTTGGCGGCCTAAGGAAAAAGGTTGGGTCCTGTCAATCCCCTATGGTACTCTCATCCCAGGCTTCCAGCAGAGTCTGTACCCACTTACTGGGTGCTGAAGCCACCATTACTCCAGGGGACAGCATCCAAAGGCAATGCCAGCTCTCTCCTGCCTCTGGCCCATCTCTACCAGTCAAGTTGGCCCCTCACCAAACACGGAGAACTAGGCCTGCTGACCAGGACTCTTAGGGCAGGAGGAACCTGAATCCTGCTAGGATTAGGGGCAAAACCCAGAAGCCAGGTTCTGGGTGGGGCCCTGGCAACTAAGCCAGTCCTCCCCTACCTAGACCCCAAGTTGGACTGAGGGTTTTTCCTGTATCTTCCACCATCTGTGGAAGAGACTTGCAATCCCTTGTGGTCCTTTTGGACTTAGGGTTTTTTTGTGAAATGCTCAGCAAGCCCCCAAGGCAGTCTGGATTTCATAATATCTACTACCTGTAGGTGTGCATGTTCTGGCCAGCGAGGGGGTTAACAGCTTGCAGGGGATAGCACTCTTGGATAGAGTATGCGTATAAACACCTCCCAGCTGCCAGGGCAGTGGCCCTATTGTGCTCACATCTGGGGCATAATGGACCCCCCCCCCCACAGCATGTCTTCAGAGCTCATCTCCAGCTTTCTTCCGGCTGTGTGTTAGGGAGCAGGAAGGCTGGTGAGGAATGCAAGAAATCCCAAGACCAGATTTAATGGTCTGTGACAATGCCAAAGGGACTGAGTCAGCCCTGTGCAAAGGGGGAGGGGCAGCTGTCCCACTGTCCAGAACAGAGTCAAGAGTGTGGGAGGCTGGCAGGGCTCAGCTCAAGGTGCTTCCTAAAGGGGCAGCTCCCCCCTCCCCAGGCCCAGCACGGCCCTACAGACCCCCTACCCCAAAGGAATGGGCCAGGAGACAGGTGGGAAGGCGCCTGAGGTAATCCCTTTCTATGAGCACCCCTAGGATATCTGAGGCCCCTCTGTCCCCATCAGTGATGGTATTAAATGATTACTGAGCTCTGGTCGCTAGCTCAGCCCCTCTTCATGGGGAGAGCAAGCCCCTGCCTACTTCTCAGGGCTACTCCGAGTCCACTCGGTCCTACACCACAGTCATAGGCAGGAAAGTGATAGGGAGCCTGCTTTCTGTACCCCCTATCCGTTGAAGGAGGGCAGAGAGCTTCCAGATGAGTCATGGAGACTTAACGTGGGGGCAAGAAGACTATAGGGAAATATCGTGGCAGGTGTGTGTCCTGCAGTCTATCTGAACCAGCTTGGGAAAATTAACCCTGAAGGGAGAGCACCCTCAGGGGGCGGGCATTATCATGCCAAGCAAATATGGGATGGCCCTGGGGAATGGTGCCTAGAAAGAGATATAAGCCAGTATATGACATGGGCGAGAGGGGGTCAGACGTTTCCAATCCCTGTGTGCCTAGCCCCTGGGGCCCGGAGGGTTCCTCTCCAGATGTTATTGCCCCCACAAATCTTAGTCCACAGCACCTTCCTAGGATAGGCTGTCTAGAAAGAGAACTGTGTTTTAAAACAAGAGAAGCAATTTTGAAAAGTCATGTTTTGCCCAAGGCCAGAAGAGGTCAGCACAACACTGGCCCGGCAGCTCATTTCCTTTGGTGTTCAGCCACTATGTGCCCCCTGCCATGAATCAGGCACAGGCTGTAGTGTGGCCTTCAAGTTGACAAGTAATCATGAACCCTCAAGTATCACCATGGACTCTAGCAGCCATCTTCCCTCTCCACCTACCGCTCAGCAGCCCCCAATGGCGGAGATTAACCAGAAGAGGGACTTGGACACCGTAGGAAGAGGGGACAAGTGTCTGGACATCAGCACCCACGGATTGGTGTGGAGAGACCAGAGAGACTCGATGGGGGCGTCCTCTCCACGGCCTTGCCCCTGCCCCTTTCCAGGCTCCTTGGCGGTAGGGGCAGAGTGTGACAACCCCCTAGGACGACCCCTGAGCTAAACTGTGGGGGTACTGCAACCATGGTGGAGGTCGCATGGCCAGGATGGGTAAGGGGGAAAGGCGCTTCGGCAGCCAGCAGGGGTCGCCATTTCTCAAGGCCCCTGGGCTCATTTTTCTGGAGGCTGCAGGACCCGGGCTGGGGCGTGGGGTCCGTGCGCGGCCCAGCCGCAGCTCCGGCGCGCTCACCTCTCGGGTCCCAGCGATCGCTCGGCGTCGCCTGGGTGACCTACCCCGAGCTTGGCACCCGACAGTCCCGGTCACCCCAGGTCCGCCTGGGCTGCCTCCGTACCCCTGCCCCCAGCGCCCCGATCCCCCGGCT